GATATATATTTATTGATTTTAGAGAGATAGGGAGGAGGAATGGGGGAGAGAAAGAGAGAGAAACATTGATTGGTTATCTTCTGTATGTGACCTGACTGGGATCAAACCTGAAACCTTTTGGTGTACAGGACAATACTCCAACAGAGACACTGGGCCAGGGCTAAACTTTTTGTGGCAGTTGAGATTATTGTGGTCAAGAAATGGGGAGAATGAATTCTGAATGATCTGGTCCAATTTTTTTTGTCCTATTTATGTCCATAAATTAGTGGTTTGGATAAGACTAATCTAAGTAAGTTGTGTGTGTACCATAACTTGAGTGCTCCCTGGCTTACTTAGATTCACCAGATGCCACTGATTTGTATCCATCATGGTTCTGTGATGACCATCTCACCAGCATCCCCGGGAGTGTCATCAGGCACGCTCAGAGTAGAAGGGTAGACACTGCCCTGGGTTGTTCAGTTTCAACATCTTGCCATGTCTTGAGGCAACAGTCTCACTTCTGATTTAAACCTAAATTTCTTGTTTTCCTCTTTATGGATTAGTTTACTTAATATTTCTTAGTAAACACAATAGGCCAGAAGCTGTGCTTGGTGCTCAAGATACAAAGGTAAAACAACAGAACCCCTGCACTCAAGGAGGTCATTTAGATAGCCAGATAGTAATTATATGCCATAGTAGAAATAATATTTAATATTACTTTATGTTGCTTTGAAAAGCAAAAGTCAATATATGAATATGTCTTTGGACTAGAATTCCTGGAATCAATAGGCATATATAAATAAAAATAGTATTACTAATACAAGTGCTGTCCTATAATAGGAATAAGAAAAATATGACTTCCGGCCCAGATGGAGGTATAGGTGGACGCACTGTACCTCCACGCATAACCAAGATTGGAACAACAACAATTTAGAGGCAGAATAACATCCAGAACTGACAGAAAATTTATCTGAATGGAAGTTGGACAGCCAAGAACTTGAACTAGACCCGTTCATCCAGACTGGTAGGAGGGGTGGAGATGAGCAGCCAAGTGTGGGTTGAGGCATGGAGAGCAGAGTGAGTTGGGCGCATAAGGCGTCTGGGGCATGCAAGATCGCAGCAGGTGGACCCTGAGTATGCAAGCGGCAGCTGGCAGACCCAGTGAGACAGTGATTGTGGAGCAGGGCAGAGCACACAACCCAGGATCCCAGAGAAGGGACTGAGGTCCCATGGAGAACGAAGCTACCTCCATGGTTCCCTCTCGACCCCGCCCTCACATACAACATCACAGTCTAGTGATTGGGGTGCCCAGCCCTGGTGAACACCTAAGGCTCCACCCCTCACCGTAACAGGAGTGACCAGACCAAAAAACAAAGTGAGAGACGGCTCAAACAGAAGAACAAATCAATGCCCCAGAACTCATCTTTTTAAGTGACTGAAAGATAGCCAACCTATCAGATGCACAGTTCAAAACACTGGTGATCAGGAAGCTCACAGAATTGGTTAATTTTAGTTGCAAATTAGATGAACAAATGCAGGTTACCATAAAAGAAATGAAGGAAAATGCACAGGGAACCAATAGTGATGGGAAAGAAACTGGGTCTCAAAACAATAGAGTGGACCAGAAGGAAGAAAGAAACAACCAAACAGGAAAGAATGGAGAAATAAGAATTCCAAAAAATGAGGAGAAGCTTAGGAACCTCCAGGACATCTTTATATGTTCCAACATCCGAATTATAGGGGTATCAGAAGGGGAAGAGGAAGAGCAACAGATTGAAAATGTATTTGAACAAATAATAAAGAAGAACTTCCCCATTCTGGCAAAGGAAATAGACTTCCAGGAAGTCCAGGAAGTTCAGAGGGTCCCAAAGAAGTTGGACCCAAGAAGAAACATGCCAAAGCACATCATAATTATATTAACCAAGGTAAAAATGAAGGAGAGAATCCTAGAAGCAGCAAGAGATAAGGGGACAGTCACCTACAAAGGAGTTCCTATCAGTCAGCTGATTTCGCAAAAGAGATCTTACAGGCAAGAAGGGGCTAGAAAGAAGTATTCCAAGTCATGAAAGGCAAGGACCTACATCCAAGATTGTTCTATCCAGCAAAGCTTTCATTTAGAATGGAAGGGCAGATAAAGTGCTTCTCAGATCAGGTCAAGTTAAAGGAGTTCATCATCACCAAGCCCTTATTTTATGAAACGTTAAAGGGACTTATCTAAGAAAAGGAGATTAAAAAAAAACATGTATGGTAAAAGGACAGCAAACTCACAATTATTAACAATCACACCTAAAACAAAACCAAAAGAAACTAAGCAAACAACTAGAACAGGAAGAGAACCACAGAAATGGAGATCACATGGAGGGTTAGCAATAGGGGAGTGGGAGGAGGAGAGAGGGGGAAAAGGTACAGAGAATAAGTAGCATAGATTGTAGGTTGAAAATAGATAGGGGGAGATGTCCCATAGAGCAAGGGACATAAAGGAAAGAATAAACAAATAGGACCTCATCAAAATTAAAAGCTTCTGCACAGCCAAAGAAAACAGTATCAAAATTAAAAGAGAACCAACTGTATGGGAAAACATTTGCCAATGATACCTCAGACAAGGGTTTAATCTCCAAAATATATAAAGAACTTACAAGACTGCACTCTAAGAAGACAAGGAATCCAATTAAAAAGTGGGCAAAGTACTTGAACAGACACTTCTCCAAGGAGGACATACAGAAAATCCAAAGACACATGAAACGATGTTCAATATCGCTAGCTATCAGAGAGATGCAAATTAAAACCACAATGAGATACCACTTCACACCAGACAGAATGGCCATCATAAACAAAGCAACAAACAACAAGTGTTGGAGAGGTTGTGGAGAAAAGGGATCCCTAGTGCACTGCTGGTGGGACTGCAGACTGGTGCAACCACTATGGAAAGCAGTATGGAACTTCCTCAGAAAATTAAAAATGGATCTGCCTTTTGACCCTGCAATTCCACTGCTGGGACTCTATCCTAAGAATACTAAAACACCAATTCAAAAGAACCTATGCATCCCAATGTTCATAGCAGCACAATTTACAATAGCTAGATGCTGGAAGCAACCAAGATGCCCATCAGTAAATGAATGGATCAAAAAACTATGGTACATTTACACAATGGAATTCTATGCAGCAGAAAGAAAGGAGGAGCTCCTACCCTTTGCAACAGCGTGGATGGAGCTGGAAAACATTATGCTAAGCAAAACAAGCCAGGCAGTGAAAGACAAATACCATATGATCTCACCTTTAACAGGAACCTAATTAACAAAACAAAGACACAAGCAAAATATAACCAAAGACACTGAAACAGAGGCCAGGCTGACAAGGCCCACAGAAGACAGTAGAGGGAATTCAAGGGGACAGTGGGAAGGGTTCACAGGAACAAACTTAAAGGACACATGGTCATAAACTAAGGGGAAGGTGGTAATGGGAGGGAAGTGGGGAGGGGTGGGAGGGGGGACTGGATTGGGAATAAAAAGGAGAAAACTGTATTTGAACAATGATTAAAATTAAAAAAAAGAAAAAAATAGATAGGGGAGGGTAAGAATAGTATGAGAAATGTAGAAGCTGAAGAACTTATAAGTATGACACATGGACATGAGCTAAAGGGGGGGATGTGGGTGGGAGAGGGTATACAGGGTGAAGGGGAGTGAAGGGGGAAATGGGACAACTGTAATAGCATAATCAATAAAATATATTTAAAAAGAAAAAAAAGAAAAAGATGAGGACTGCGTACATACCTAGAACAAGTGTTAAATAGTAATGAAGTCATGTTCTAGTGGTAACTCAGTATTAGGGAGGCACAGTGACTCATAGAGGACTCTAAATGCCAGCAATTCTCTACAAAAGTAATATACTTCAAGCACATTATTCACATATTATCACAGATTATTACATTATAGTAGTACAGGTAGCAAGTGCCACCCTGGGGCTACAGCTGGATCCACATTTTGTGGGGCCTGAAGCTCTTAAATAGGGAAGGTCCACATAAAAAATAAAATAAAATTAGAACACAAAATTAGGTATGGCTTATGCAAATGAGGAGCCCTGAAGCTTAAGCTTCATTTGCTTCACAGAAGAGCTGACTGGTAGGTACATAAAAGATGAATATTTTCTCTACTCATCTGTTATACTAGAGAAAGGCTTGGGGGCATTAGGAAGAATAGTATATATTAAGCTGATACCAAAAAGTTTATAATAAATATAAAGCTATAATATGAGCCTCTAAATTGATCTTAGCAACATCATTATTCTACCTTTATTCTTTCATTCTATTATTTGGCTTTCTTTGAAATTGAAAAAATATCACAGGTATTCATTGGGTATAGATCATAAATACTTTCTTTTTTTAAGCTTCAAGTTCAGTCTATAGACTTGTGCTGTGTGATACCATAGTTATTAGCCATGTGCGTATTGGGCACTTGAAATATCACTAGTACAACTGAGGGACTGAACTTTAAATTATGTCAATTTTAATTTAAAAAACTGATATTCAATTCAGTTACAACAAAAAATTTAAGTTTGTCTGGAACAACTTGCGTATGTCAATCTACTTTTTCACCTCTAAATTCGATAAAATCTAAATGCAGTTTAATTATTTCCTAGGAAAATTTAGTGGCCAAATTGAGATGTACTGTTGTAATTGTAGAATTCACACTGCATGTTGAAGCCTTAGTATGACTAAAAGAATGTAAAATATAATATTAATACTGTTTACATATTGAAATGATGATGTTTTCATATATTAGTTAAATAATATACACTTAAAGAGTTAATTTTGTTCAGTTCTTTTTACTTTTTAAAAATGTGGCTATTAGAAAAATTTAAATTGCATATACAGCTAAAATTGTTCTATTATACAATACTCTTTAAACTCTGGCTGTTTTTCTCAAAAGAGAGTATATGATTTTTGAAACCACTTACTTATAAACTTAGGAGAATTATGGTAGATGGAAAGCAATTACTAAGCATTACTGATGGGTCACGTTTACCTTACTTGAGGTGGTGGAATTCCTACCACTATGCAATCCAACTGTACTCTGGTTCCTTCTGGAACTTCTCTGCTCCATAACTTTTGAGTGAATCGGGGAGGTTGTCCTAGAGGTTCTTCATAGTACAAGGATGAAGGTGAAGACCCTGGGGTGGTGTCTCCACCAGCTGCTTCACTGGCAGCCTGCTCAGCTTCACGCAGCTTAGCTTCCTGCTGTTCAAGGGCATGATTCACTTCATTATCTCTAGTATCTGCAGGGATAGGGATGGGAACAGAAGCCCTTTCTCTCCTTTCTGATGTAGCTGGGAAACTGGAGCTATTTTCCTGCATAACTTTGTTTTGAGATTCCAATTTGCTCTTGTGGTTTTTGCAGGCACGAGGTCTAATCCTTTTGGAGCTATGGGCTTTGAAAAGGGAGGACAGCTCTTCAATAAAATCAGCAGCCTTATTCAAGAATACTTTTTTGGACTGGGCCTCAGAACTATACTGTAGCTTTGCTGCCTCCTGGGGACTCTCTTTAGAGTTGGTAGGACTGCGAGAGTTATCCTGGCAGAAGTTAGGGTCAAAACTTGATTTAGATGGATGTTTCATCTGATCAGAAGAAAGACGTTTTCTAGTTTGAGCTTCATCTGCTTTCTCCAAAGGGTCATGATTGATGGCCAATCTTGCCAGATTGACACTTTCATCTAATTCTTCTTGGCTCAGAAATGCTGAAAGATCTGGAAGGTCATCTTGGCCTCCTCCTCCTTCAGCTGCTCCAGAAGGACTGCCAAAATGGAAAGGGTTGGAGGAAGGCTCTGCTCGACTCCTTTCATTGTTTCCCCGATGTCTAGTTTCTGCTAGATAGCTCTCTCTTAGAAGCTGAGAAATGGAAGTAGAAGCTTCTACACTGTCGTCTTGCATGCTGTGAAAAATAATAATAATGATAATAAATTTGGATCATTTTCAGAGAATAACAAGTCTATGTTTATTACAGCATGATAGATTCTTAAGAACTTAAAGCTTGAAGTTTAAAAATTGCCTAATTTTAATACATTTACAAAATTTACTATAAAGACTTAAAGATTATTTTCAAATTGTAAAATGAAGAGGAACTGAATGAGATTTTTATTGAAATTGGAAATAATAACACAGGCATTACTTTATTAAATTCTTTAAATACAAGTTCAATTGTGAAAGCTATGCTATAGCCATAGCGACATTAAATACAATTCCTAAGTTTTGATAATATCTGTAAAGGCCTTTTAGCTATAAAGTACTTTCATATACAAATAGGGATTTGCTCTCTATCCTCTCCCTTTTACCTTGAATGTAATAAAATAATAGAAATGGAGAGATATTGATCTCAGCCTTGACCAGTGTGGCTCAGTTGGTTGGGCGTCATCCTGCAAAGTGAAAAGTCAGTTCGAGTCATGGTCAGGGCATGTGCCTGGGTTGTAGGTGTGGTCCCCTGGTCAAGAGGTCAGGGCATGTTTGGGAGGCAACTGATCAATGTTTCTTACATCAGTAAGAAACTTCCTCTCTTTCTCCCTCCCTTCCCTTCTCTCTAAGATAAATGAGTTTAGGGGAAAAAAAGATACTGATCTCATAATCTCAACTGGTTGGTGAAAATATAAACTTGATCTAACTCATGAAAATAAATAATGCTTTTTTTAAAAACCAGAGACAGTTTAAATTCACTCTTGTTTATAGGATCAATCTGCTCTTGAAAACTATAATGATTAAGCCTTTTCAAAGAAAGTATAATTTAATTTCTACAAAGATATGAGTTAGATCCTAGGTTTCAAAATATCTCTTAAATTAACATTGGTGAAGAGCAGAAATGGGAGATGGGAAAATGGGGGGCAACACAGGACATTTTTCACTGTATACTCTTTCCTGACTTTTGAATTTTGATTATATAAATACATTATTGACTCAAAAAAATAAGTAATTGTTAAAGTCTTAAGAAAATGATAAAATAACCTTAGTTCTAAGTCCCCTGGACTATGATAATGCAAACCAATTTTATATTGTTAATATTATATCTATTTATTCATTCACACACTTACTAGATGGATGGCAAACTTGTGAACCATAGGATGTTACTCCTCTCTCTCCTTAAAGATGCAGCTAACTGACTACTCTTCCCATTGACCTTAACTTTCTTAACACTCTACTCCATCTGCCACCACCAATCAATCAGAGGTGGTAATGGAGATGAAAACTATTTACCATTCTTGGCTACTAAGTGATGGGACTTGTGCTGGGAAAATGGAGAGGAAAGCAAACTCCTAAATCTTTTTGGGCTTTAAGATTCTATGATGAAACTTATTTCAGTTCATTCCTTATATGATGGTCTCACTTATATCACAAATAAGGCTTTCTAAGAACAGCTTTAATTCTCAGACTTTTAGAGTGTTAATTCAAAACGAATCTCCAAATTGGCAAAGTAGGCAGTGACCTTAAGATGACAATAGAAATGGCTAATAGGATCACCTACATAGAAACATTTTTCCACAGGTGTGCCACAGCTTGACATTGCTGCCACTACTGTATCCACTTGTTTGGGTGAAATTTATTGTCTTTCTAAGAAAGGTTAATTGGGGAAGCAGGAGGTAGAAGAGGAAAAAGGGAGAGGTAGGTGCTGATGGAAAAAGACTTGACTTGGGATGGTGAACACACAAGACAATATACACATGATGTACTATAAAATTGTATACCTGAAAGATATAAATTTTATTAACCAATGTCACCCTAATAAATTCAATTTTAAAAAGGAAATAAAGAGGAGCCAAGGAAAAAAATGAATTGGAAATGCAAAAGCATTGGAATGGGTACAAATATCTATCTACAAAGATATTTATCATAGTACAGATGATAATATTAAAAGAATTGATACAGGGGCAGGGGGTGGGTGGAGGTGGAAGAGGGTATAGACGGGATAATCGGTAATGGAAAAATACAATAAAAATAAATAAATAGAAAAAATAAAAAATTGGAACCCTTTCTAATAGGAAATTAGTTAATGAAATTATGATATACCCATCAAATAGAACTACATGGCTATTTTAAATTTAAATTTAAAGTGAATGATATACAAAATAGTATATAAAAGTGTAATTGATATTCCAGTTGAAAATTTGTCTTATTTGTGCATTAACTCTATAGAAGCACAGTTAAAGATATATGAAATCAGGTACAAAATACTATTTGCAAATGTACAATTGAATATCCTCATTTGTTAATCAACTATTTTAGTTTGAGTTTTTGTATTTATTTAAATGTGAGGAAGAAAATGAAGTGCTTTATAAGTCAGGATGGTCTTTTCTCTGCATGTTGCTGCATGACATTACTGCATATTGTGTTTTATTTTAATTATTTATTTTTTAATCCTCACCCAAGGATTTGTTTATTGATTTTAGAGAGACAAAGGGGGGGGGAGACATTGATGTGAGAGATAAACATCAATCAGTTGCCTCCTCTACATGCCTGAACCGGGGATCCAACCCACAGCCTAGGTATGTACCCTGACTGAGACACAAACCTGCAACCTTTTTGGTGTACAGGCCAATGCTCCAACCAGCCGAGCCACCTGGCCAGGGCATACTGCATATTGTGTTTTAATGTTCCTCGTCTCTAAATATGTTAAGATGGCTTTTATCTTGAGCAACATGGAATGAGCATTGGCCTTGGAATCAGACCTGTTTTCAAATTCTGGTTTTATCTTTTAGCAGTTGTGTGCCTTTGAAAATTACACAATTTCTCTGAACTTTGGATTCCTATCTGTAATACATGGATAATATCTATTTCTAAGGGGAGTGAGGATTAATAACATCATGAACACAAAGACCTTAAAATAGGACCAGCCCCTATAATGGGCACTCAAACGATGTTAGTAAAAACCAATACTCAGGTAAAGGTGATGTTAATGTTGAGGAACTTTTAAGAAGCTTATATTTATGATGGAAATAGAAAAGAAAATAGTTACATAAGTAACCCCTGCTCACTGCAACTATTTTTTTCTTTTGTAAAGAAAATAAGCTAATTAATGTGTAAATTTGTGCCTGTTCTGATGCTTATGGTCATGAGAAATTATTATGATAATAAAACTTTTAGATATTCAAAATAAAGGATCTCTTTAATATTTTAACGTAGTATTTATTACCTAACACTTGGAGTTAGATCTGATTCTAATCCAAGTTCTGATACTTCTTAGCTGTATAAACTCAAGAAAATTACTTAACTTCAGTTCAAGCTTCAGTAAGCTTCAGTAAGCTTCAGTCTACTCATCTATAAAACAAGTATAATAACAGTAGCCATCTCATAGGTGGAAGTAATTTTTAAATGTGTTTGGCATTTAGTAAATGTTCGATAAATGGTAGTTACTACTACTACTAATACTACTATTATTATTATTTAACAACTATAGCCACATACCATGATAAGAAATGGAAGTGGAACTAGTGAAGTGACTTGATCCACAGACGAACTTTAAAGAGAAACTGAACTTTTACTTTGTAGTTAATTCAGCATTATCTATATTCCGTTGAAATACATATAGCCTCATTAACAAACTGGGCTGCCTTCAGATCTTTGTATGTATTATCTTTGCTCCCTGTCCTCACCTCCCTTTACTACATTACTGGGCCCAGTCCTACATGGTCTTCAGTTTTTAGCTGAGACACCGCCAGGGATTTTTTTCTTTTCTCTGACTTGGGTACCTCTCCACTGTGCTCCTAAAACTAGAGTTCTTACCGCCAAATACAGCGCTTATTATAATATATTAAAGTTGCCTGTTTACTTTTCTGTCTACCTTACTTTCTTTTATATACCATCATTTCTATACACCACACAGCACATAGAAGATGATATTTATTGAATTCTTTTGTTCATTAGAATATCCTGCAAAATCAATTGCTATTTATCTCTTTTCTTAATTGAAAGAAAAAATAAGATGGATAAACAGAAATCATATTTACAAAGAAAACTTATGACACAAAGAAAAAATATAAGTATATTTTATATATAAATATAAATATATAAGTAACTTCAAGGTGACTTTCAAATGCAAGTGTGTTTATAATGGATAAAACACATCATGGAGTTATGCTTTGTTTTCATACCAGAAGTATCAAAGAACATCTGATTATAATCAGAAACCTGAGTTTATATCTCAGCTCCAACACTGAATAATTTTGCAATCTTGAGCAAGTCATTTAATGCATCTGAATCTCAATTATTCTCATCTATTAATAGGACAATAACAATTTTGTCTCAGAGGGTTCTCAGATATAAATCCATGTCAGTTGTTAATCTAATAAATATTACCTAAAAAAGGAAATATGAAAATGTATTACTTTCTCTTTAAAGCCTTAATTTAAAATCTGTTATAACATTTGTAGTTTTAAAAAGCCCAAAAAGACAAAAACAAGCAAAAAATAAAAAGCCCAAGTGCTATTATGGATACCCTAGCTTTTACTTAGTCGTTCAATATTTATTGAGCATCTACTATGTGCTGTTCTGGGAACTACAGATTCAACAGTGAATCAAAGATAAAGTCCCTGCCCTTGTGGAGTTGACACAGTAGTGAGAGAGATGTAAATGTAAAGAAAAAAAAATAAAGTAGGGCAAGGGAATAGAGAATGATCAGGGAGGGAGAAAGGTGTGGTTTTTTAGCTAGGAAGGTCAGGGAAAGCTTCCGATGCAGTGGAGATCATGGGAAGGACTTGAAGATCATGGAAGATCATGGGAAGATCATTGGCCTTGCAGATCATGGGAAGGACTTTATTTTATTAAACGTGTGCATGGGAAATCATTTTAAAGTTTTGAGAAGCAGATGACCTGGTTTTGAAAAAGGCCAATCATGGCTGCTATGCAAAGAATCAAGTTAAAGGGAGCAAATGTGGAAACAAGCACATCTGT